GCGTGTAATCCGAGACAATCACCTGATTATCCATATCGGTCTTCGGCGGTGAGATGCAGAACTGGATGAGTCCCACCTTCGCCTTCTCCACCTTCTTGGCGCCGAAGTCGTTGGCGAACCGCTGCGGAAGAACGAGTCCGTCGACGGTCGCCGTGTCGTCCAGAGTTCCGCCCAACTTCTTAATGATCTTCACATCGCGTAAGTCCACGGACTCGTTGTCCCTCACCTTCAACACCGCGTTCACAGCGATGGGCGCCAATAGCGACGAGTGCTGTGACACCACTTTGCTGTTGAGCGAAGTCGTCGCCACTCTCACCAACGCCTCCGTGTCCTTCAGGTCCACGGCTATAGCCATGCCGTCCAATATATCCCTACACGCCTTAGCGGCCGACTGGAAGGCATCTGAGATGCGGGTCGGGTGCAGACCCTTCGCCAATAGCTTTTGCGAGGCGTCCAACAGCGAGCCGGCGATCACTACCACGGATGTGGTGCCATCTCCAGCCTCGATGTCCTGCGCTTTGGACAACTCGACGAGCATTTTGGCCGAGGGGTGGGTGCACTGCATCTGCTTGAGTATAGTGGCGCCATCGTTGGTGATCGTCACGTCCCCGTTGGCCGATTGAATCATTTTGTCCATCCCTTTGGGTCCCAATGAGGTGCGGATGGCGTCCGCCACCGCTTTGGCGGCCGACATGTTGGACGACCTGATTTGCGACGGCTTCTCCCTGTCATTGAACGAGTGCTCACTGGAGGCGCCGGTGGCTCTGTCTGTGGCTGTCATCGTGTGTGTGGGTGTTGTCGATAGTGTTGTGGTCTTCTGGGGTACACTCTTGAGGTGATTGCGGACTCAACGGATCGGATGAGTGGCTGATAGTGTGGTAAGTGTTGAGACAATGCGTGCGAAATGTGCTCCAAATTAGGGCCGACTTATAGTGACTCACGTGGTTTGCGATGCACTCCAGTGCCGCCCATAAACGACGTGCCATTGAGACACAGAAGTTGCGTTGAGGCATAAGAAACGTCTCGTAAATAATTGTCATTTAAAAGGCATATTAAAAGGCATTCAAATGATTAATTAATGTTAATTTTATTTATAATTTCAAAACATTAACGAGTACACTTAATTAACGTATCGTTAGATTAATATTATATGTGTAACACGGATAATTTAATAACGAACCTAATAAGTCCTAACCAGATATTTTAAACTAAACTCAATGTTAGAACATTTGATAAAACTTTATTTCTTAATACAATTCTGTATATCGATTATTCTGTAATACAATGTATGGCTTATTAGTGTTCAATTAGTACCACTTAATCGGCCCAACGCTGTATTCATGCAATTCATATCGGCTTTGAGTTTAGCGCCAAATGAATGCAATTTATCGATTGAGTCCAATATATGCACGGAATCTGTGAACGAATCGTAATATACTTCGTAACGTCGCGCGAGTTTACTCTTCACGTACTCCCTATAGACACGAGATTTCAATCAAATAATGAATGCAATTTATCGATTGAGTCCAATATATGCACGGAATCTGTGAACGAATCGTAATATACTTCGTAACGTCGCGCGAGTTTACTCTTCACGTACTCCCTATAGACACGAGATTTCAATCAAATCCATACAAAGTATCACCAAATTTACAGTAAACCCCGGTATAGCGCACCTATACTTCATATAAGTTCACTATACTATGCATAGGTTTACAAAAACATATAGTTTTGCTGAATGTCTGACCGGAACTTATCCTTAGCGTCTTGGAAGCTGTCGGCCACGTAATACACGTCCTGATACTCGACGTCCTGATAGGGCTGTACGGCTGTGGCCTCGGGTTCAAAGGCCCTCAGCTCGGGCTTCGACGACAGCGAGTGCTTGAGCTCACCATACGATGACAATAGGCCGGCGCCGTACGCCTTGATCTCATTGTTCTCTTTGCAGAGACCGAACTCAACGGTAAACCAATACAACTAAACGGCAACAAAAGGAGTAGAAAAACACATTTAGTTAATGGATGTGTGGTTTGGGGGCCGGTATGCGTGTGTGTAATACAGTCGCAAATTTCTCGATCTCCTCATCGGATGCGCCCAAAGACGCCAAACCGATCTCTTGCGAGAACTGCGCGAATGCTATGAAAACATGAAATTATTAATAATTTATTAGTTTTCTTAACAAATGAGATAACAGTGCGATGGGTGCAGTACGTACTGGGGTCGGCCAGTATGGGCACGTGTCCGATCAGCTCATGGATGCAATCCCTATTTGGGATTAGAAATACAACACCAATTAATTAGTCATTAAATTATCATTGATTTGCGGCAATGAATGTACGGTTCGGGGGAATGGTGTGGATTGGAGTCGTGGCGCACGTATTGTGTGGTCTGAAACACGCGGAACGCGAGGCTGGCCAAGAAGTCCCGGGCCGTGAGTAGGCCGGCCGCCGGACGCAGAGTAAATCCAGTTCTCCCTGAAATAGTGTGTAAATTGATAGCAATTAGTGTGTCGATTGTGGTTTTGAGCCAATCTGTGGCATACTCTTGAGAAACAGTGACACGTCTTGTAGTTGAGGAATATTATCGGAAGCATAGCCGCACTCCTTCTCCAGAAGTGTGAGCACATCGACGTGTGTCCGACACGCGTGGCTCTCAAATAGGCGCCGCAACTCCTTATACACTTCACCCCTGTTTACAACCAAATCAATATTATTTCAATTGTTTATTCTTGTTGTTAAGTATAATGTTACATATTTGTAAATAATATTATTTAAAATAATTTTCCATTTGTAATAATTAGAAATTTTATCTATAATTAATAATTAAATTAGTAAATGTTAAGCTGCATAATTTATACAATTTGTAATACATTATAACTCAAATTGGTAATCAATAATGAACTAGTTTATTATTATTATTATTTCTAAAGAATTCTACCAAAACATAAAGAATATACAAAAGAATAATTTTATAAGAATAATCACCAGGTTCTTATCTCGCTTTCATTATATGTCACACGAGGTATTGACTCCCCACTGGAAATCATAATAATAATTGTTAATTCAAAGTTTGATTAAATAATGAACAAACATTACAAATACAAGTGCAAAATGGTTGGACATGATAAATACAATTGAATACACAAATGCTTACTACTTGTAAGTGAAAGCAATGTCTGCGATCTCTTTCCTTCTCTGTCTATACCCCGGATCCAGAAATCCCTGTCCATTGACACAAACGACACACAAAACTAATTATTTCAATTGTTTATTCTTGTTGTTAAGTATAATGTTACATATTTGTAAATAATATTATTTAAAATAATTTTCCATTTGTAATAATTAGAAATTTTATCTATAATTAATAATTAAATTAGTAAAACTTCATAATTTATACAATTTGTAATACATTATAACTCAAATTGGTAATAAATAATGAACTAGTTTATTATTATTATTATTATTTCTAAAGAATTCTACCAAAAAATAAAGAATAATACAACAGAATAATTTTATAAGAATAATCACCAGGTTCTTATCTCGCTTTCATTATATGTCACACGAGGTATTGACTCCCCACTGGAAATCATAATAATAAGTGTTAATTCAAAGTTTGATTAAATAATTAACAAACATTACAAATACAAGTGCAAAATCGTTGGACATGACAAATACAATTGAATACACAAATGCTTACTACTTGTAAGTGAAAGCAATGTCTGCGATCTCTTTCCTTCTCTGTCTATACCCCGGATCCAGAAATCCCTGTCCATTGACACAAACGACACACAAAACTCACAATTAAATACAATTCATTAAAACTCANAAATACAATTGAATACACAAATGCTTACTACTTGTAAGTGAAAGCAATGTCTGCGATCTCTTTCCTTCTCTGTCTATACCCCGGATCCAGAAATCCCTGTCCATTGACACAAACGACACACAAAACTCACAATTAAATACAATTCATTAAAACTCATCAAAACTTTGTGTATTCACACACCGGATGATCGCTGTCGAGATCGGGCTCATACTTGGCGATTATGTGTGTGCAGTGATCCAGCTCACTTATATGCCTGGGAAACCACGGGTCTAATGGGTTGATGAATGGCAATCATTTATAGCTCAACAAAATGTTTATGCAATTCATAATTAAAACCAAATGCGCGGCACAAGTATGCGATTGAG